AAAAAAAAAAAAAAAAAAAAAAGAAAAGAAAAGAAAAGAAAAGAAGAAAAGAAAACACACAGTGTCACACACTTGTCTCTGATGTTTCCATGGGGGGAAGCCGTCAATCGGCAGATACTGGAACAGAAAGAGAGGAAGTTTCTCATCTCTTTCTTCAGGTACACTTCACATCTCCGGAGTCTCAAGGATAGTCTGCATACCTAAATTGAAAAAAGCAAAGACGATAGAGTTCGTGTACTTTTGAATTAAAAAAGGTGTGCCTTTTTGTGTGTACCTTTTGAGTCTTTTGCTTTGCGTGCTTCTTTTAATTTTTGTTACTTTTAATCATACTTGTGGCACACCAGTGTGGTGCGCGGATCTATGATGCGCGCACAACCAGCGCACCACGGGGGGCACAGGGGGCATGGGGGTGAGAGAGGGAGAGAGGAAGAGAGCCTTTCTTGGACACGAAATATTGCTTGGAATCCTTGAAAAAAAACTCACGGGCATTGTACAGTCGGGCGGGGCTAACTGTTTTGGTCCCAGGCCGCTGTCTGAATTGGGCCTGGGCAACGTGAAGCTACTGGGCACACAGTCGCCAGGCCCAGGCTGCCACTACAGGCAAACACTTTGCATATAGGAACGTGCCCGCCTGCCTCTCATTCATTCGGGCACTTCGTGCACATGCGGCAGCACTGCCATTCTGAGCGCTGGTAACCCGCTGGAAGGAGATCCTGGGTAAGTGCACGCGGGCGCAGGTGGTGAGGCCCTCCTTCCTCTTCGTCTAGGCCAAGGCTCCTCTGTCTCTGCCTCGTGCGGCTCTACCCCAATGACACCCCAAGCAGCGATGGCACTTCTGCTCAGGCCGCCATGCCTGACTCTGTAAGCTTCTTGGTGCGGCTCTACCCCAATGGGGCCTTCCAGATGCAGCGCCCACCAAGGTGATGAAGATGGCATCCACCATTGCCAGGTAAGTACCCCTGGCGCTCCCCCCTCTCCTAGTCCCCTTCTTCCTCCTCCTCCTACCCGCGCTCCTCCACCACAGCCAAGGTGGAGAGCTGGCCGCTTCCCTTCTTCCCCAGCGCTGGACTCAGCAGCGCTCCAACCAGCGCTCCAGCAGCATGTCGCCAAACTTGCACACAGCAAATGAGGAGGAGCTCTTTGCTCCTCCTGGAGATATAGCGGCCAACTTGCTCTTGGGCGGTGACTTCCAGGCCGCGCAGCCTCCAAGCGACCGATACCTCCTCCCTTTCGGAGGGAAACATCATTGCAGACTCTGATATCGCCCGTCCAGGCCCTAGACTCAGACTACTTGGAACCCCTCCATCTTAGCACTCAGCACACACCAGAGGTGAGTATCGGGTACCCAGACCCACACCCACCCGCACCCACCCCACCGATGAGGCATTGGATCGGGTGTGGGTCTTGATGAGCTGCCATGGGTGGGATGAGGGTGGGTCTAGGCGAGCCAGCCTGGGTGGGTGATGGGCGGGTCAGTGTTAGGCCTGGGTCACCCGAACGGGTGGGTGACAGGCGGGTGAGGCGGGTGAGCGCTAGGCATGGGTCACCTGACCCACGGACCCAGGATAACCCATAAGAACCCTTCCCCCCCCCCGCCCCCCCC